TAAAGATAAAGATTTTTTTTTAAAAAACAAAAAAATGGAAGAAAAAAAAAACTTCTGTAAAAAAGAATAGCAGATTCCACAGCACAACTAACGATAACTGCACAGAGAAACGATATTGTTGGAATCTCTTTTATGTCGTTGGATATTGATGGATTTGTTTTGTTTTTTCCAGCTGATGAATAATAAAAGCATTGACAGCCAATATTAGAATTCATTCAACTTTAAAGAGCTCAAGCATTTAAAGTGGCAGCTGCAGAAACAGATGTTGAAATATAATAAGCATTTTCCTGATGCTCCCCTGCCATGCTTGCTTAGCTTGTCACTTTGTTTCTGACTTGCTCGGCCTCAAAAATTCCTGCTTGCAGCCACATTTATTAATACTTTCTGTTTGCATGAAAACATAAATGACATGATCAGGATGAGTATTTGGGTGGAGAATCCCCTCAGTGATCTCTCTTGAACTACTAACATACCGTAGTGAGGAGGGTCTCTCTGCCCAGAATTATTGGCAAGCTATTATTCCAACAATTACAATCCTCAATACCCTTCTCTATTCTTGGCTAAAGGCACGTTCACACCAAGTACAGTAAGGATAAAGATAAAGATTTTTTTTTAAAAATCAAAAAATTGGAAGAAAAAAAAAACTTCTGTAACAATTTTACACTTTGGAACATTATTTCCCCCATATTTTGACATTTTTATTGTCACGTAGTTATTTGAAATATGAAAGTAGACAATTTACTTGCATTTAAAATGTAATTATTACATAAAAGTAACATGACACTTACAATGAGATAAACTAACTTTAAAAAAAATAAACACTTGATTAATAGCTATTAATATTATACATTTAAATATTACAATATATGAATTCTAAATTATATATAAACAATATAAATATTAATTATAATATAATAAAGAATAATTATTACAAAAAATAAAATGAACTTACATGAAACTTTTATAATCAATCAATCAATATTATATAAATGACAATAGATCACAATTAATTCTAAATTATATATAGAGTGCAGACCCATTTTCTTTCTTATTTGCAATGAAATATCAAGAATTTATTTTTTTTCTTTTAGATACATGCTTGTAGATGGAAGTTCTCTCTGTCAAACATTTTATGAGTGCAATGACTGTCCAAATTACAATGTCATTTAAAAATATATATACATTTTAGTCAGTATTAGTATTGGTTAGTTAGGATTAACTAGACTGACTAACAAGAGATATACGCAGAAATCTTTATTTAAAACATAAGTGATCTCGAACACTGTCAACGCAAATGCAAACTGCTCACTTTTGTTCAATATGAGAAACCCACATTATAATGCATGTTGTTAAACATGTAAAACAGAGTTCTCTCATAGTGAAAAGCGAAAGGGAAGATATAGAGAGAATGAGACAGGTGGCTAGGCCTGTCCTTCCTTACCCTCCTCTCCTGTTTGAACTCTCTTTCATTCTTTCGCTCCGCTCTGTGCTTTTTCAAGCACACAGTGACAAGCGCATTCATTCTCTCGCTCTATTCTACGCTCTCCTCCTTTTTTTTGTCCAGCCTGCTGGATTCTGCTTCATCGCTATTCAGCTCCCAGACGGACCACCATTGATTAGAGCCCCCCTACACTCACCCCCTCCAAAACATACTCACACACACACACCAGCCGTCTCCACCTCACACACCCTGCACTCAGCAGCTGCTATGCTAATGAACCTCAGGAATAGAGAGATGGGGAAATGACAGGGAATCATCAGGATGACTCTGTCTTCATAACAAACTGAGATGGAAGAGCTGAGAAATATCACTAAACAACCATATAAAAATGTAAAGAAGGAGAAAAGTAACAGTATTATTCCTGTCCTTCTTCAGGCAAAGGTTAACTTAACACGTGTGTTGGCCTTCAGTTTTTATGTAGCGTCTCTCCTTTTACTGTAACTACTATAACTGGATTTCCCAATCCAAGGCCTGCATATCAACCAAGCCACATATTGATTCTGGCTAGAAACGGCAGTTAATTATCCACTACGGTTCCTTAACTATAATTATGTGCAGAGCTCTGAAGTGCATAAAAATGAGCATATGCCCAATTAAACTCACTTTTAAGTACTACAAACTGCAGAATGTTACAGACAGACTAAAATCTGTGTAAAAAGTGCATCTTTATCAGTGACAGATCTTCCTATAAAAATAATCAAACTAGCCTGGCAAAACAAGCCTAAAACAAATGACTTGCAACAGTGAGAAACATCAGCTCACTAAATAACAATGAAGTGGCCAAACTTTATGATGTACCAACAAGAACAATTTTGTGACTGTATGCTGTAAAAAATTCCAAAAAACCTACAGTTGTCTATATTTATAAGTGACTTTATGGAGAAAAAACAAGCCATAAGCTACTTATAATTATGCACTGATTTTGGTTTTAAGCCTTGATAGTGTTGCTTTCAGATGTGTCAACTGTCAAAATGAAACAGAATGAAAATTCATATTCATCTCAGAATGAAAATTCATATTCATCTATTGTTTACAATGTGTTCGTTTAATGTTTTTATTGTTTATAGTGATTTGTTTGTGTA